TATCACTCATACAAATCTCACCCATAATCAACATTCAAAAAAAATTTCCAGATCAACATCATTTACAAGGGTTCAATGAATGTCATTATTATGGCGCGAGTAATACTAATGTGATCAGGCGTATTTTTCATCAACACCGTTTTTTTTTAATTTTTAATATTAAATGAATGTTTTGTGCGTGTAACAAATAAGTTTTCTTTTAACGGCTAATTTTCCGCGACCTTAAAGATTATTACTATTACTATTAAATAAAAATAGATACGGACACACACACACACACATATATATACTGTATATTACACATTATTTCCTAATAATAATGTATAATTGATTACTAAAATAGAATAAATAGACAAAAATAAATTTCAATTTTAATTTGTCTTGAATGAAATTTTATGAGCGAAAGGAATCTGATAAAATGTCAGTTTCTAAAAATAACATTTAAATTTACAATGTTTGTGTATGACAAACATCATATAAATGAAATTACATGCATAAAATAAATTTTTTAGAGAATATATCGTAAAGAGGGAAAAAAAAGTAAAAAATGTCCAATATTTTCCAAGCTTTAATGATAATCGGCCCAGTCCTAGGATATTTTGATCAAATTTATAAATTTCGTAAAACTAAATCTAGTAAAGGTTTTTCTTTGGATACTTCAGGAATTTTGTTAATTAGTAGGTAAATTAATATATGAATGAACGACCGGGGGTGTATGTATGATTATTAAGAAATATTAGAAATATTGCAAATATATTCTAATTTTTCATTCTTATTTTTTCAGTATAATTCGAATATATTTTTGGTAAGTGCTTGCTTATTATTGTTGCTGTCATTATTATTATTATCATTTATTATAATTAATATTTATTTTCTTTCCGATATAAATATTTTTTAGGTTTGGCAAAAGATTTGACAATGTATTATTGTACCAAAGCATTTTCATGATCTTCACTCAACTTTTGGTTTTACACCAAGCAATCAATTATCGTATCAAGACTCCTTCGATTTTTAATCCATCACAACGTAAATTTTGGAATTGGTCTACTCTGACACCTTATCTAAAATTCTTGGCATCTTTAACCGCAACTTTATGTGTTTTGAACTATTTGTTCAATGATAAACATTGGTTTATCGAATTATTGGGATTTCTGGTACATTGAAAAAAATAAAAATAACCATCATTATAATTATTGTGTTTATATATTTATATTTATATGTATGATTGATATTTTACTATAATAGGCACTTGGAATCGAGAGTGCAGTTCCAATGCCACAAGCATGGAAAAATTTTCAATCAAAATCTGTTACAGGTTTCAGGTATTATTCTTATTGCTATTTATATTATTATTATTATTGTAACTTAACTTCAGTTAATCTTCCAAGATTGTTTCTATTTCAATTTCCAACCCACTCCTCGCTCTTCCTCTTTCCCTCTATTATAGCCCGATGATTCTTTTGGTTTGGACCATAGGTGACACTTTTAAAATTTTCTATTACACCTACACTTTTGCTCCTTTCCAGTTTGTTCTTTGTGGTGTCGTACAATTAGCAGTTGACGCAATCATCGTCTTCCAATTCATCGCTTCATCATAAACATTAATTACTACAGACACATACACACAATATGTCATTTTTGAAATTGGTTGGCCGGCTAGTCAAAAAAAAAAAACGACAACCCGGAATAAGAACTTTTTATTTTTAAAAAGTTCTCACACCCCGGAAACACTTATAAAGTTTAAACATTTTCTTTTGTAATTTTAACTTTCGTAGACAGATAGACAGAGTTAAATTACTGACCAACTAACTATATTTAAACTTTCATATAAATAAAAATTGGTTAAAACTGATTCTATTTCTTGATTTGACATTAAGTTTCCAATGTGAAAATCATTAATTTTAATAATATATATATATATACATAGTATTATTATTACAAAGATTGTGCGTAATATACATTTATAATAATATTAACACGAAAACATTTAGTTTCTTTTAATTTGTATTATGTCGCCCTTGAGTAACGAGGCAAACGGGTAGACTTTAAATGGAATTTCATCCTCCCATTCATTGATGATTGATTGGAGTTCATCATTGATAGAAAATC